TTGATAGTATGAGATGATTCATGTGACAGAATTATTTCGTATAAGGTAATTTACGTAATCCTACTTGTACCTTAATTAATTTAAATCATTGATTTAGTAATCAGCAAATTAATTTTAACGATTGTTTCAAAAAGTAAAAAAGGTTTAAATTTTAAAATTTCAAAAAGTTTGATTAAAAATTGTTAAATTAGAAATGTGAAGAAATTTCTAAATCATGTTGTTCATTTCTTGAATTATGAAATATACTTAAATGATTATCTTTCGCTAAAAAAAAAGAAAAAACCCAAATTTAATTCAGATGTCTTTTTTGATTGCCTAAAAATGGCCTTAAAACGAATCATCAAAATACTAATATCGATATCGATGTAACAAACGATGTTGTACTGTTATGTGAACCAGTATACTATCTTATTGATCATTATCAACATCTAATAGATGATAATAATGATGATAATTGTCTTTCATTTCAGATTTCACTATGATACGATGATGATGATGATACTGATGACCCTACTAATGACCTCGGGTCTAATCAATCATATACAAAAACTATCCATTTTTATCTTATTACAGTAATTCATCTATTTTTTTTTCTTTACTACTATCCGAATGTTCATATATCAATTATTGATAATAATTACTGTATTGAGAAATACTGTATGTGAGCAACAAAGAATTTTCAATATTTCTGAACAAGTATCTATTGGACATATTATTGGATATTTAAATGATACTCCATCATATGGTATTAAAGCTAATTTTTACATTGCTTATCCAGATAATATTGGTGAAATCGAAAAAGTAAGTTATTTAAGTTTTAAAAATTATTTTTTTTTGTAGCAAAAGATTTACTAAAATACATTTCATTTTATAATTTATGAAATGACAAAATAATGATTAATTTATGAATTAATTAATTAATTTATCTAATCTAACAAAATGATAATCTAAATAATTGTTAACCTATTTGTGAACTCAATTGATTGATTTAATTTTGATGGAATGATGATAATCTGTTTCATTTCACTTTAAAATTTTGAAATAACTTAAATATACCTGTGAAATTTATGAGATAATTATTAAGAGATATTCTTTTTCTGCTAATTTTTCATTTCTTGTTTACTTTTTTTTTTTCTAGATCACATTTATTTGTTACAATTATAAAATTATAATCTATCATTTATTTTTTTTAAATTGTTGACAAAAATTTTAAAATTTATATAAATTAATAATATTGAAGCAATTTGAATAAATTTGAAAATAATGTCCTCAATAATGTCACCAGAACTGTTATTTGGAATGATTGAGCATTAAATCAATTATAAATATAGGTTAAATAAATTAAAATCAGTTAATTCGTAAGGTCATCAATGCAAATGATAATAATGCAAATCAATTTATTATAACAATTAAAATACTTAAATAATTAGTTTGTTAATAGTTATTTAAGTTTTTTATTTGTATAAATGGTAAAAATTTTCACGTAATGAATTAAATTTTAATAAATTTTAAAATTGTAAAAGAAAGGAAATTAAAAAAAGTTAGATGGAATAAAATATGAAGCAATATAATCTATTATACAAAAAAACTAAAAAAAAATTTTAATCATTTTTTTTGGAATAAATTTATTATCACCTATTATCATATGATGTGAATAAATTTATTATTATCACCTATTATCATATAATATCAGTAAATTATTATCACCTATTGTCATATAGTATCAATA